TGATAAGGAAACCTGGTGGTGGAATAATGAAGTGCAGGACGCTGTTCAAAGAAAGAGATTAGCCAAGAAGAATTATGACAGTGAGAGGACTGAAGAGAGGAGACAGGAATATAAGGAGATGGGACGTAGGGCAAAGAGGGAAGTAGCTAAGGCAAAGCAGAGGGCGTACGATGAGTTGTATGGGAGACTGGACACTAAAGAGGGCGAGAAGGACTTGTACTGATTGGCAAGACAGAGGGATCAGGCTGGAAAGGATGTGCAGCAGGTTAGGCTTATTAAAGATAGGAATGGTAATGTTCTATCAAGTGAGGAGAGTGTGACGAGAAGATGGAAGAAGTACTTTGAGGAGCTAATGAATGAAGAGAATGAAAGAGAAAGAAGAGTAGAGGTTAAAGAAACTGTGGCCCAGGAAGTGGGAAAGATTAGAGAGGGTGAAGTCCGGAAAGCTCTGAAAAGAATGAAGAAGGGGAAGGCAGTAGGACCTGATGACATACCAGTGGAGGTTTGGAAATGTCTTGGAGAGATGGCAGTGAGGTTTTTGACTCAAATACAAAGTATTTAATGGCATATTTTGAGGGTGAGAAAATGCCTCAGGAATGGAGAAGGAGTGTGCTGGTGCCCATTTTTAAGAACAAGGGTGATGTACAGTGTTGTAGCAACTACAGGGGAATTAAGTTGATGAGCCACATGATGAAGATCTAGGAGAGAGTTGTGGAAGCAAGACTTAGATGAGAGGTGACTATCTGTGAGCAGCAGTATGGTTTCATGCCAAGAAAGAGCACCACAGATGCCATCTTTGCTTTGAGAATGCTGATGGAGAAGTACAGAGAGGAACAGAAAGAACTCCATTGTGTCTTTGTGGATTTAGAAAAAGCATACGCCAGGGTGCCAAGGGAGGACGTTTGGTATTGCATGAGGAAATCTGGAGTGGCAGAAAAGTATGTTAAACTGGTACAGGATATGTATGAGGACAGCAGGACAGTGGTGAGATGTGCTGTAGAAGTGACAGATAGCTTCAAGGTGGAGGTGGGAGTGCATCAAGGATCGGCTCTGAGCCCCTTCTTGTTTGCTCTGGTGATGGAATAACTAACAGATGGGGTCAGGCAAGAATCCCCATGGACAATGATGTTTGCAGATGACATTGTGATCTGTGGTGAGAACAGGGAACAGGTGGAGGAGAACTTGGAGACGTGGAGGTATGTACTTGAAAGAAGAGGAATGAAAGTCAGCCGTAGTAAGACAGAGTACATGTGTGTGAATAAGAGGGAGGTCAGTGGAACAGTGAGGCTACAAGGAGCAGAGGTCACAAAGGTGCAGAACTTCCAAGTACTTGGGGTCCACTGTCCAGGAAAATGGGGAATGTGATAAAGAAGTGAAAAAGAGAGTCCAGGCAGGATGAAGAAAAGTTTCAGGAGTGATTTGTGACAAAAGGGTGTCAGCAAAGGTCAAAGGAAAAGTTTACAAGACAGTGGTGAGACCAGCTATGTTGTATGGTCTGGAGACAGAGACATGGACAAAAAGACTGGAGAAAGAACTGGAAGTGGCAGAAATGAAGATGTTGGTTCTCCTTAGGAGTGACGAGGATAGATAAGATTAGGAATGAGATAATCAGAGGTACAACACAGGTTGAACAACTGGGAGATAAAGTTAGGGAGGCCAGACTGAGATGGTTTGGACATGTCAAGAGGAGGGACTGTGGGTATACTGGTAGAAGGATGTTAGAAATGCAGCTGCCAGGAAAAAGACAAAGAGGAGATATATGGATGCAGTTAGAGAGGACATGAAGGTAGCTGGAGTGAGGACAGAGGATGTTGAGGACAGAGTGAGGTGGAGGAGGATGACTCACTGTGGAGACCCCTGAAGAGGGAAAAGCCGAAAGAAGAAGAAGAAGAAGCTTTATGCGTAAAATGCTTTTGTATAAATAAAGTTTGACTTTCACAAAAACAAACTCAAGTATGTTTACAACTAAAAATTGCAAATAAGTAGAAAAGCAATTAGAATAACCTTGTTGTTTTTAGTTTCTTTGTTTGTTTGTTTTTTCATTCAACCTTTATTTATACAGGTTAATCCCATTGAGCCTCGGGGACTCATTTACAAGAGAGACCTGATTTCTTAACAAAGACTGATGACAACAGTGGACAACTGTAGAACAGAATTAATAGATTTGGTACTTATTTTGCTATTAAATCAATTTCTTATGTCATTATAATTATTATTATTATTTAATTAAACAAGAAATAGCATTATAAAAATTATCTTTCTGATGCAACAATTGTTTGCAATGAACTGAGCAATAGCTTTCCCTTTCAATCAAAAACTTATTATGGTTTATTTTCATTCAGTTAGAAGCTGAAAATAAAAAAAGATGAATCTCCCACCTGCTGGAAAAGTCTTTATACAACACAGTGATTAAATATGTTGATTAAAAAGCATTTATCTCTAAAAAAATAAAACTGACTATTCTCATCAATCTGTTTGGACCCAAAATAAAAACTATTAGATACACTAAAAAATATGAGCTTTTCAGGGATGTAAGTGAGGTTAATGTTTACAATTTCAATCTGGAATGATGAACATGGACTTTCTGTTCTCTGTGAAGTGTAGTTCTCATGTTCACCAAAAGGTGGCGCAGCTGGGCTGTGTGTTTTACTGGAACCTCACTAAAACAAGTACTGTAGTCAACATTTTGTTTCCAGACTCAGTTAGAGCAACCAAATGGCCACATATTAAACATCACATCATCTTGAAATATTGCACATACTTTCTGTTTAATGCACATAAAGAAACAATATTTGTGTTGGCTGTTTAAAACTCAAAACTAGTCATGTTTGTACATTTTGAAGCATAAATGTTTGATAGTTCTGCCACCTCAAACACTGACATCATGGTCACACCGCAAAGACATATTTGGTGTTATTCTAGTCCAAAACATTTGAATTTAAACTTATCCAAAAACATTTTTAGACTTTGTTGTCATCCATTCATCCATTATCTTTACCCGCGTCTCCCTTTTTAAATTCAGGAATAAGACATTGATTTTTGTTAAGGTATTTCAAATATTTGTTGTTTTATTTAAGGATATGAGGGGTCAGAAACAATGTCCAAGGGCAATAATTAGTCCCATGACCACAATTTGTTTACATGTGTCAGATAAAATGACAGTTCTTTTTTTTAGAGTTTCATTTGTGCAGCAAACAGTCATATTTAGTTTTTTACGAGAGTTGTTGTTACCTAAAATCTGTCAGTCGCTCTGATTACAGTATCTAACATTCAAATTATTACGTAGACTCAAGAAAGCTGATATAATCATGTGTTTCATCACTTCACTGGCTTATAAACATATACAATAAAACACCCCAAATCCACTTGTACATTCTTAAAAAATGCATCTCCTAAAGTTACTGTGTAATGTTTGAACACTATCTTATTATCTACTTGGTGTCAGTACTTGGTATTGGCAAGTACCCAAACTGAAGTACTTGTATTCAGTTTGAAAAAAACTCGTATTGGGACACTTCTATCTGGTTCTCCGTGTCTCCTCGAGTTTGTTGTTGTTTTTGTTGCTGCTATGTCATCCTTTTGATATTAATAATAATAATAATAATAATAATAATAATAATAATAATAAAAACATTTCATACAAAAGTAGCCATGTAAATAAGAACCAGGACAAGACCCACATCAGTTGATTTATTGCCAAAATAAATCACATCCATGTCATAATCATCGCCCACCACTGGCAAAAAGGGTAATAATGTTTTTGCTTCGTTGGTGTTTGTTTATATGCTTGTTAGCAAAATATGACATGAACCAGTGGCTGGACTTTGATGAAACTCTAAAACGTAATGAATGAATACACATAACTAACTTTTGGTGTCACTCCAATTCAAGATGGCCTCCACAGCTAAGGGACCTTAGCTCACAGAAAAAACAGCTAAATTTTAACAGACACTGAGCTAAACTTTAGTGTGGTAGTAGCTGAGGATTGTTCACAATACATAATCTGATTGCTACACATCGTGCAACATCTTTTCATAACACTTGGGCAATAATTGTTCACGTTGATCTGTTGGCAAACTATGAGCTGTTGGACGGATATCAATAAAACGCTCAGAAAACAAATGATTAAATGTTTGTAACACCCTAATTCAAGATGGACGTTTATTAACCTTTATTTATTTATTAACCTTTATTTAATCAGGCAAATCCCATTGAGATCACAGATCTCTTTTGCAAGGGAGGCCTGGGCTGAAGGCAGACTAACATGCATGTTTTTGTCTGTGGGAGGAAACTGGAGTACCTGGAGGAAACGAGAAGAGAAGAACGAGAAGAACATGCAAACTCCACAGAAAGACCCCAAGTCCAACTGGGGATTGAACCAAGGACCTTTTTGCTGTGAGGCAACAGTGCTAACCACTGAGCCTATATGTCACATCTAATTATTAAATTCAGAAGAGGCTCCAATTCCATCCATCTTATGTTTGTACATTTTCTGTTTTGTTTTCAAACTGTTCATGTTCTTTTTATTTATTTATTTTCATCATAATGTCTGCTCAGTTTATCATGTCAAATGTGAACTTATGTTATTGTTGTATGCCTTGTCATACGGTTTTTTTTTTCTTTTCTTGAATTTTGAACAAAGATTTTTTTTTAAAAAAAACATCAATTTTGCATAAATGAACTGAAGTTTGACTTGAAAGTAGCTGAGAGTCATTCTCAACACGCACCCTGAAGGCCAGCAGATCTCGCGAGATCTCGAGACAGGTTGAGGTTGGACCCACACATCTGGATGGGACAGCTGTGGCTCCGACATGATTTAAGTCAAACTCTGGAATGGAAGGTGGCGAGCGATATGCATTCCTTCAGCTAACGTTGGGCTTTTAATTTGAAAGAGTTTGTAGGTTTTGTTACATCCTCTCTGTGTCCGGGGTGTTTGGGCTCCGGCCTGGAAGGAGGAGTCTGAAGGACTTTATAACTCCGCTGCTCCTCCGCGCGCTCCTTCACTCAGACTGGGACTGAACACAGCCTCCTCCCTCCTCCTCCAACACCAGGAGGTCTCGGACAGCCGGACTTAAACCACGGAAATACTCCAAAAATAAGACAATACATTGTAATTAAGAAGAGACGAAACCAGTGGACGGAATACAACTGCTGTTTTTATTTTTTTATTCCAAACGAAGTTTTTAATTTATTTATTGTTTTGCTGGAACTTTTGACGTCATGAGGATTTTCACGGCTGCGCTCCTGCTTCTTCACGTCTTGGGTGAGTGGATTCATCTCCTGTACTCCACACTGCTCCAATAATCTTTGTTTGCTCATGAATTAATTAATGGACATGGCTGCCTCACATTCTTACAGTAAATGTCCAAACGCACAACATTCAAACTTTAACTCGGCCCTCCTTTTCCTGATGCCCTGAGGAGGCAGTCCTGGAGCTAACGGGGTCATCTCTCTTATTTTAGAGCATCATGCTTTATGTAACCGGATCCATTTATTTTTAACTCATATTCTTGCCTGACATTGGCTAAGGGTCTGTGTATGTGTTAGGGTGTGTGTTCGGACCCCAAAATGTTTCCTTCAGAGGATCATTCACCTCTAGTCATCTAAAGCCCACCTGAAGGTTGCCTTTGTGCAACATGTTCCAACTTGTCCACAGAGCTCCAACCACACAGGCCAACTCCACAGAGAGTTACTGCTCTGGTGCATCAACACGTTTATATTCAAGTTGTTTTAGATGTTAAATGCGTCTTTTTTGTCCTCCAGCGTTGCCCAGATTGGCCAGTGGCGCTGCGGTCGACAGGCGTGAAAACAACAAACACACATCTGTTTTCAACCTCCTGGGCACGACCAGAAGCCAGAAGAGGGTGGAGGAAAAGGAGCGCACGAGTACACCAACAGTCACGTACAGTCAGGAAGAGGAGGATGAAGATTATTACGACTACGAGCCAGATTATGAGATGTCTGGCGATTATGACACGCACGTGCCACTAGGTAAGGCCTCTGAAAGAGCTCCCTCGTTGCTTTTTTGCTTGGCTCGGCGGCAGAGGGTAACTGTTCCTTGTTGGTTGGTTTAGTTGCCATGTCGAGCAAACCCAGAGACCCGTCTTCCATCCTGGAGACCGCGACTACGGAGGGAAAGAGACGGCGGGGAACGGGGAAGAAGAAGGGGAAAGGCCTGGGGAAGAAGAGGAACCCCTGTCTGAAGAAGTATAAGGATTTCTGCATCCACGGCACCTGCCAGTACCTGAGGGACATCCGCGCCCCATCCTGCGTGTGAGTATCAGAGCTGCATACACCGGAGCATCATCTGCGCCACGTGATAATTTATTAATCTTCTCTCCGATGGCTTTCCAGGTGCCACCCGAATTACTCCGGCGACAGGTGTCAGTTTTTCACGCTGCCTGTGCAGTCTCCAGAGGGCTACAGCAGGACCACAGCTCTGGCTGTCATAGCCGTGGTGCTGTCGTCCATCTGCCTCACAATCATCGGACTGCTGCTGATGCTCAGGTGAGGTCAGCTCAGAAACGTGCACCACAAATGGTGACAAATCAGGAGCTGACACGGGCTAAACGTCGTTTCTTCTTGTTCCTTTCAGGTTTTATAAACGAGGAGCGTATGATGTCGAGAGCGAAGAGAAGGTCAAACTAGGATTGGCGTCTAATCATTGAAGAGGCAAAATGAGGTGAGTAGTTAAGATTTTTTCTTTAAACCTTCAGGCTGAATCCCAGTTCTTGTTGTTATCCCGACATCTTAGCCCTCAATTCAAATTATAATAATAGGTAGAAGTTCAAATATATCGCAACAAATCAAATTTTTGTTTCCGACTCCTGGTAATATGTCTATATATGTCATAAAACGAGCTATCACCAATTTTTGACATACAATGTTTTTTTATATGCCTGTTAAAGAGGTAGTTCGGATCTTTTGATGTGGGGTTTTGTGGACATGCTTGATAGCTCTTTGAACAACTTCACTTAGGGAATTATTTTTCCGCGGGAGCATCGAGCTAACGGCTAGTCGAAGCAGACCAAGGTGGATTACTGCTCTCCTAAAATCACTTCCATCTCCAGAATTTCTAAACTGCTCCTGCAAAAGTTATTTTATAAACTTTACATTACTGTCAGTTTTGGATTACACTATTAGTCCAGTAAAAATATCATGATATTCCTACAGGAAGTGCACTACAAAGCAGACATTTTAACAACAAGCTAGCTGCTGCTGACTTTAGTTCCACTGACTAAATAATTTTATGTAAACGACTGTTCTGTAAATTTGACGGCATTGTAAAGGTTTATAATGAACTGCACTCAAAGACTCGAGCTACTTTACGATGGCAGTAATTCACTTCGGTCTTGAATGCGCGGATTAGCTCTTAGCTCGTCACTTCTTTGCTTCTCTAATCTGAGGTCAGTCAAGAAAAAAATGAGAGGTGTAAAGGTTTATAACGAGTCGTTTACACAAATCGCTATGAGAATTTAGAGACCAGAGTCGTTTCAGCGATCCACACAGCTATCTGCTACAGGTAAGATACTAACTGTTCAGAACCTTTCCACAAATCACTCTTTAAAAGACCTGAACAAAGGGTGACGATGATACGAATACATCAGAGTAGACATTACAATGGTTTCATTTGTTTGAGTTGTACTCCTGGAAAATAAAGATCTATAGTTCTACTTCTTAACCCGCCCCCACTTCACCTCGCTCATGAACATAGGGCTATGTGTTGGGTGGAAACGGGCGAAATTGGGGTTTAGCCATAACAGTGTCTGTGCCTCATTAAAACAAGTTTTTGCTCACAGTTTTGTTTTTTTTCCTTCCTATCAGACAAAAAAGCAGAAATTCTACCTCAAACTGGACAAAAAGGAGCAGTACTGGCGGGCCAGGAGGAAACGAGCATGTATGAAAAGATGGAGGGAGAGCGCATCCGCCCAACGTTCTGACAGACGTTCAGACGGAGAGCGGACACCCGACTGCGTTCCTGTCGGAAGACGACGGCTGGTCTGGAAACGGGATACACGTGTCAGAAGATGGACTGCAGATGTGACGAGCACGGAGGGACAACGTTTTGCCTCCGTGCCACTTCTTGACAGCGTGACAAGAGAAAGTTTCAAGCAGAACTGAAATATTTTTATCAGCAATAATAGCTCGACTGAACTTTGTTTTTCTCGCAAGAGAAATTTTATACTTCACTGTACAAGGCCGTCATCTCTTTTTTTTTCTTCTTATTTTGTGTGTATAGTAAAAGTTCTATTTATAAGTTTAATTTATTTATTTAAGATAACGGTATTTATGGAAAGTTTTAATTTCCTTTAACCGTTTTTAAAATATTAACGTTTTTATTTTGTATTTCTTATTGGACGATATTTATTGATGAAACAGGAGAAGAAGAAAAATAACCTCCTTGAGTTTTTCCATATTTCGTGAACATTTCTGAAATGAGTTAAATTTGTGTTCAATGATCCGCAGCACTGTGATTAATAAATTCATCACTGATTAGACTTTTGTTCAAATCAAAGCAGTGCTTTGGAGTCATGCCTACAAGCTGTCCAGTACACTCAAATGAACATGCTTGCACAGGTAACCAGTACAACCAGTATTTATGGGGTTCAGGCCTTTGTTTAAAGGCATGTACGAATTGGTTATAAAGGAGGGATGCATCCGTCTCTTTCATGTTTCCCCCATTTAACTTTATCCTGCAGGCTCAGGGATTTTAAGGCCAGAAAAGGCTCCATCTTCAGCTTCTGTTGGATAAACAAACAGGTCATCTTGGGTCTTTACAGTTCACTGCCCTGATTCTACAGGCAGCACAGTTTCTGAATCTATTTCTAAAAAAAATAAAATAAAAAAAACTAGCAGGGATTGATGTGAAGTGGTGAATACATTGTAACGAAGAGAACAGTTCAAGGTGTTAAACAAAATGTGAATTTAAGTGGTCTACCCTTTCAAATTCTGACCTGCGGTTCTGAAGTGGTTTTCTTTTCAGAGCAAAATAAATGGACATTATCTTCATATCTGACTCTGTTGTTTCTGTATCGTTACATCTCGTGGCACAAATCGGTATCTGGTGGAGACATTAACTGGAGAGCCAGAGGTTTTGACCCCAACGCAACATTTAAATGAGGTCAACTTTATTTTTGCTCCTTCGTTGGCTTCCTGAGTTCATGCCTGTGTGGATGATGATCACATCAGTTTGTTCTTTTGTCCCACTCAGGACCTGTAATTATAGTAAACATAATATTTTTATTTCCTGTGTCTCTGACGCAAAGTCGGCCTTTATTAATCATAGCACCTGTATCCGGGTCTATGCCGTTGTGCACTTTAAAGGCAATATTTTTAGTCATAAAGCCTTTGTTAGGTTTGATTCAGGTTCCCCAGAGAGGGTGTAATTTAATGCGGTCCTCTGAGGGCTTTCCCTTTGGACCACATGGGAAAAGAAGACATGATTTGTTTCATGTGTTGACATCAGCGTCATTGGTTTCACTGACAGATCAATCACACAGAGAGCAGCCGGTCCTTATTTACAGCTGTCTGTGTGTGCGTGAACAGATGTGAGGTGTGTGTGAGGCGGGGAACACCTGATGCTCAGCCACAACACAGCAGCACATCGTTACTCACACAACCAACAGATGTCACGTTCAAAGGCACGCCACCCAGTGCAACATCAAGAGACCAAAACCAGACCGGAGTGCCGCAGGGTTCAGAGAGCCCACATACAAGAAAACACCAGCAGCAACAATGCAGTCATCTACATGCAGGTTTTAAATGAGGTAAGGACAGTCAAAAAGCCCAGCTGGATTCCAAAGGGGCCAAGCGTTAGTCATTCCTTGAAGTCACCTCCTACACGGATGTTGTTACACCAGCTCTGTTTCTGCGCCTTAAAGTAATGCCTCAGCTGTGACTCTGCATGGGTTACAAGGGTTGACCGAACCACAACGGGCAGAAATCCACAGCAAAAACACAAATGTGTGCTCGCCTTCGATTCTGTCTGATTCCCACAATTTCTGTTTATAATGCATAAACAAGATGCTGCAGGAAATTTGTTTCACGCCAGGGGGCCAGTTGTTAAAGACAGATGTTCAGCTAAAGTAAGGGTGTGGTTCTTGATTCAGGACTTAACTTTCTTCATACCAGTTGTTGAGAAATTGAGAAGTAGAGCTGACAATATAATTCAGGAAGAACTGTGTGGAAAGACAGCGTTTCTCAACAGAAACAAAAAAAACAAGACAAGGTCATATTCATCACAATAAAGTGTATTTCTGATCTTTTGGAATGGCATTTAGTGGTAAAATAGTGTATAATTGTTCTTACCTATGATTGCTTTTTAACTGTCTCAATTTGGAAAAATGGGTTTTAATTTTGACCTAATTGATGCTAACAGCTAGCTATGTGTCAAAAACCAGTGTGGACTGCTGCTGTCTTAAAACTCTCGTCCCTAAAGAGTTATGGTGGTTCATGCAAACATTGTTTTAGAAATCTTTACACTGATGTATTTTGCATTACACAATTATTTACATATCATTCTGAGGTTTGCAAGCACAACCGCATGCAGCAACTAGCTTTGTCCATGAACTACAGCTAGATAGCTGCTGCGGCTAGCTACAGCTTGGGGTTTTTCCAGATTTTATTTTATTTTTTTAACAGGATGCAAAGTTAATAATGCTGTATCCATCCATCCATCCATTTTCTTTACCCGCTTATTCCATTTTGGGTCACGGGGGTCGCTGGTGCCCATGTCCAACAATCACTGTGCGAGGGGCGGGGTACACCCTGGATGGGTCGCAAGTCCATCACAGGGCCACATAGAGACAAACGAGACAAACAACCATTCACTCTCTCACTCACACCTAGGGACAATTTAGAGTTACCAATCAGTCTAACATGCATGTTTTTGGACTGTGGGAGGAAACTGGAGTACCCGGAGAAAACCCACGCATGCACGGAGAGAACATGCAAACTCCACCCAGAAAGGCCCCTGGACCGGGGTTTGAACCAGGGACCTGCTCGCTGAGAGGCAGCAGCTCTACCAGTTGCGCCACCGTGCTGCCCTTAATAATGCTGTAAAGCTTTATAAATTTTAATGAATTTTTTAAAAATCAGAGTTGTTTTTAAATGGCAGCAACACATTACGATGTTGGCCCGACTCAAATTAGCCGTTAGCTCGTGAATTCAGTGAGAAATAAACTCATGATCTTCTAAATGAGCTCGTTTAAATAACTATCTACAATAGATCCATCCATTATCTTTACCCACGTCTTCCTTTTCAGGTCACAGGGGTCACTGGTGTCCATGTCAGTCACTGTACGAGAGGTGGGGGACACCTGGACAGGTCTCCAGTCCATCACAGGGACACATAGAGACAAACGAGACAAACAACCATTCACTCTCTCACTCACACCTAGAGACAATTTAGAGTTACCAATCAGACTAACATGCATGTTTTTGGTCTGTGGGAGGAAACTGAAGTACTCGGAGAAAACCCACACATGCACAGAGAGAACATGCGAACTCCACCCAGAATGGCCCCCAGCTGGGATTCAATCCAACAAGCTTTTTGCTAAGAGGCAACTGCTCTACCAACTGAGCCACCATGCCGCATCTACAATAGATAAGATATTTCAAAGTCCATGCTCAATAATCCAGGTTAAAAAAATACAACAAAGTTCCGTCAGGTCCTCTGGACGG